GAAATTTTACACAAATGGATAATTAACCATTAGATTATTAAATGAACCAGTTCAAAAAACATAGATCATAATATATTTGATTAAATCATTTGGTAATTTGATTATTCTTACTAATACATTTTAATTATCTTAGTAGTAGAAAGTGAATAACATTGAACTTCACAAACATTTCAAGTGAAAATATAAATATAATATTATTCGACACATAAAGATATAATTACTTACAATAGTATCTAAAGGTACTGGTCGCCATTTGGATTTAGGTTTTTTAGTTACTTTCAACACCAAGGCAGTTGGATTTTCTTGGCAACGCTCATAAAGTACATTACAAAGAACTTCATCAAATAACCTAACTCGTTGCCACGAAAATTCTACATCTAAATTTTCAATTTTGTGATGGACTAAAAATATGTTATACAAATATATCTGTAGTAATATATTATAAAAAAGTAACTCATTTTTATATATTTTAAAATACCTTTAATTTTCCAAAAATGTTCAGGTATAAAATTTTGAATGTCTTTATACCTTTCAACTACAAATCCTAATGTTGGAAACTGACAACTACCATAACTAATCAAACTTTTAGATAATACATCAGGAAACACTTTTTGTAAACGCATTGTTTGATAACGCGTAAATGCTGCACCTAAAATATATTTAAAATTGTTAGAACAATGAAAACATATTAATGCAAGTAAAAATATTTACTAACCAATTCTTAAATCTAATTCACTTCTCACATCAACTGCATCACTTATATTTTTATTTGGGGGCCCAAGGCTACTAATAGCTCTTTGTACTGACTGTCTAGTAATTTCAGATAATATAGCTCTAAAACAACAAACATTAATCAAAATAAACATAAAATTGTTTTTTTAAGATAAATATTAACCAAAAACCTAACAGACCTATAAACTTGAATTCTAGGATTAACTTCTCTACACACATCAATTATTTCAAATCCAATATTTTCTCCTTCTCGATCAGCATCAGTCCATATTACCAAAGTATTACATGATCGAACTTCTCGAACTAATGTTTTCTAGAATTAAATAATTAATGTTATTTTTTTTTAAGTTTTGTCAACATAATGGTTACTAGTTTACAATATTATTATTTTTAAATTTGAATGCTTAATGTATTTATTATTTGATCAAATAACTTATTAATATTAAGCAATCCAGTAATCGTAATACTTTTTGTACATGTTGCTTTTTAGATCCTTTGCCGGGAAAACATGTTCTATTTAAAATATCTATACAGAATAGAATAATATCAGGTGAATATTATGCATTTTACATGCATTCATACATCTATAAATGTATTTATAATTTATTCATACATTATAATAAAAGATAAAGGGTTAAAGGTTTTACTAACCTTAATATTTATAAAGTCATTTGGACATTCTTTTACCACAGGAATATGAAATAATTCAAGAGGAGAACAAGATGTCCATGAACGATATGAACCTTCGAATTCATACCCAAGTAAATGTCCAGAAACAGATGTCATGATCATAGTGCTTGGTGACCCTTGGAAAGTATGGTTAAACTCATAAATTTTGTTAAATTTTGAAAGACCTTCTCTCTGAAATGTTATTAAAATAAAATAATTAAGCACTTGTTAAGTAGTGTTGTAAATAATAAACTTATGTTGATTACTCTTTGTAGATTTCCGCCAGACAAATGTCCAGCAATATTTTTTGCAGCATCATTTTTTTCAGCAACATTCAATACTCTCATTTTCTTGCTTACTTCTTTAATTGAGTACCTGTTGAAGTGTATTCGATACACATTTTTAAAGAGCACCCACGAATTAATTTCATTTCTTTTAAGAAACATTCAGTTTTCATTTTTTAAATCACTTGACAAAAAAAATTTAGCATACATAATATTATGTGTAGACTGTAGGTACTATTTAAATTTCAAACTAAGCTATACGTAAAACTAAATATTATTATAGTTATTGATAAATAATAAGAATAAGACATCGATAAATTTATACACAATATGTTTAAATATTAATTTCTCGTAGAGAATTATGAGCTGTACTCGTCTCTCGTCTATTCTGTAGACGATAATTCATACAAGTTGGAAGTTTAAACTGCTCAACTGCTTGAATCGACCGTGGTCGGTTACCAATAACCCAGGAATGCTGTGACTCCAGCGTGTCGATATCATGGAGAATTACTCTGTGGCCGATATACACACGTTATCATTTTTATCTTGTTTTCACGGTATATTATCACTAAAAATTCTGTGATATTATGATATTTATTTGATGAGTTTTATTTTAATTTTTAAACTTCTTGTACTATAGTTGTACTCACGGTATCACCATTCACTACTACACTTCCACGGCATTACGGCAGGTGAGGTTAGGGTTCTTAGTTTTGGATTGTTTTTTCATTAAATTTTAAATTTTTATTAAGTTTTCATTTGTCAAAGATATCTGTTTTCCATTTTTGGGTTTTGTTTATGTTAATGAATTCGTTAAACTATGGGTATTCTCGAAAAAATTTCGGAAATCGAAAAGGAAATTTCCAGAACTCAAAAAAATAAAGGTAAAATAATTGTTGCAGTTAATATTCACTGATATTTATTATTCATTATATAAAACTCTCCATTTCTTTATAAATATAATCCTAATTTTAGCTACTGAATACCACTTGGGCTTATTAAAAGCTAAACTTGCCAAGTATCGTGCTCAGTTGTTGGAACCATCTAAAAAACAAGAAAAAGGAGAGGGATTTGATGTGTTGAAGTCCGGTGATGCTCGAGTGGCTTTGATTGGTTTTCCATCTGTTGGTAAAGTATGTATGATTGTGGTATTTTTAAATCTTTCCGTCCACTTCCTATCTGCCAAAAAATTAATTCAATTTTAATATTAATAATTATTACTTTAATTCATTGTTTAATATTTTTTTTCTCAAATGAAACTGAACTAATTAAAGGATATGTATTTTATTGTTTAGTCAACCCTTTTAAGTACATTGACACATACGGAAAGTGAAGCAGCTTCTTATGAATTTACTACTTTAACTTGTATTCCTGGAGTCATTGAATACAAAGATGCTAATATTCAGCTATTGGATTTACCTGGTATTATTGAAGGTGCATCTCAAGGAAAAGGACGTGGTAGACAGGTAAATATTAAGAATTTAACATTTTTTTGTTTATGTACTTGAAAATGAATGCATAAATAATTTAATCGTAGGTTATAGCAGTAGCCAGAACTGCAGATTTAGTATTGATGATGTTGGATGCTACAAAGCAAGATATTCAGCGTCAATTATTAGAAAAAGAACTGGAAAGTGTTGGGATACGTCTAAATAAACGGAAGCCAAATATTTATTTCAAGGTTATATTTTTAATATTATGCTTCGTTTTCAATACCTGAAAGGTGTATGTCTAATTATATAGGTAAAAAAAGGGGGTGGATTGGCATTTAATGCTACTTGCCCATTAAGCAGAGTTGATGAAAAACTTGTTCAAGTTATTTTACACGAGTATAAAATATTCAATGCAGAAGTTCTATTTCGAGAAGATTGTACACCTGATGAACTAATTGATGTGATATCTGACAATCGTGTTTACTTACCGTGTATGTATGTTTACAATAAAATTGATCAAATATCTATCGAGGAAGTTGACAGGATTGCCAGACAACCTAATAGTGTTGTAGTCAGGTAATTAAGAGTATTAATTATGATTTTAGGTTATATTCAATTGTACCAAAATACTTTACCATAGTGTACTGATGAGTAGTAGTATTAATTTATTTTACTACTTACAACATAAGACAAATATTGTTTAGTATACCTACAAATATTAGTACTCTCATAATGATGGTAAATATTAATCTTATTATTTTTCAGCAATTAACCTTGTTTTCTAATTATTATAATTCATTTAAATATAAAAAAAATTCAATTTAAACCCAACAAATATATAGTTATCTGTTACATTATTTTAATTGTTATGGTGTTGAAAAAGGATCATGTTACCATCAGTCAGAGATAATTTATTAGTATGTTATTAATCTAAGTTTACTTAACTGTTGGTAAACGCTCTCAGTCCACAAACCAAAACTAAATTACTACTGATAATTAAAATTAATTATTTACTTTAGTTTGCATACTTTTAACGTTGGATCTAATATAATTATTTACTCAATATTTTTGTCCATATTCACAATCCTCAAGTATTCCTTATTAGATTTCTTGACTTGGTAAACAAAAATGTATAGAGAGTACACTGCTATGCTTACTTTATTCAGCGACCTTATTAAACACACATATTTAAACATTAGCATCCCCTCTTGGCATAGTTCTGAGGAAATAACTGTTACATTTTCTGTAGGTGATATACTAAAAAGTACTCAACGAATAACTAATAATTTTAGAAAAAATACAATTATAATTTTGTTACATAATAGATTATAGATAAGATTTGATAGCAATATTAACAATTTTATAATTTATACATTTTAAGACAAGAACTATTTATTAGGTATTTAAATAAATGTACAATTTCCAAGGAGTGATTTTTTAAAGACCCTTACCCCCCTAATAAATAACATTACTTAATATTTATTACCTTTTAAAAATTCAAAATGAGCATTTTATTTTTAGTTGTAATATGAAGCTAAATCTTGACTATTTACTGGAAGTACTATGGCAATATTTATCACTGATTCGAGTGTATACTAAAAAGCCAGGCCAACCACCAGATTTTGATGATTGTTTAATTTTAAGAAAAGGTGTTTCTGTAGAACATGTTTGCCATTCAATACATCGTACCTTAGCAGAACAATTTAAATATGCTTTAGTTTGGGTATGTATTTGATAACTTTAAAATGTGTACAATATTTATGTTTATGTATCTTGGTTTTAGGGTACAAGTACAAAATATTCACCTCAAAGAGTGGGTCTGCAGCATATCATGCATGATGAAGATGTTATTCAAGTTGTAAAAAAATAAAATGTTTTACAAGAAAAAAAATGAATTTACTGATAATAAAATATAATATATTACTTAATATTTATGAATATAATATATATTTATATAAGTGATAATTAAAAATTATAAAACAATTAAAGTAGAATATTTAAATTTGATAGTTAAAGAATTGCACATATTAAGATGCTGAAATTTGCCTGAGTGGACCATCTAAATATGAAGATAAAGCTGTTATTTTTTCTTTTAGCAAGCCAAATTCCACTGATCGGTTTGCATACAAACATAATAAAATGTTGGCAACTTGCTTAATCGCAATTCTGCCTTCCTGCAATAATTAAACAATACAAACATTATTTTAAATTCTGGTCGAAAGAAAAACAAGTTTAGTATTAAAATAATATTCGTGGATAGATGATTTTATAAGTTATGAATATTATTACAAGCGGAATGGAGATTTGATTAAATAAGTAAGAAGTTAAAGAATGTACATTCAATTCAAATTTATGACAAAAAATGATTAATTTTAATTTGATAAGTGTTATTTATAAAATTATAAATATATAATTTGAGAGATAATCTATGACGTTTTTTCCATTTCAGTATTTATTTATGATACTTTGACAGTTATTAAAGAACAAAATTTAGTTTATTAATATTTCAATAATACACAGTATTGAGAAATATAGAATTTGATGATGAAAGAATTGTAGGTTCAATGAATAATAATGAGATCATGAATATTTGGGTGTATGACTAATGGTGTAATATTTTAATTTTATTTAAACGTATTAAAGACCGGCGGTAATTACAAGTAACATACATAATCATGAGGAAATAATAATTTTTGATAATATATATTTTAAACAATGATCAGAAAATAGAAGGGAAAACTTTAATCTATATATATATATGCATTGAGTGTGTGTAGCATTTGATAGGATGGTTATGATCATAGGAAATGTAATGAGAAGGAATAAAGAAAGATTTCTGAAGAAATAAGATTGATTTGTACAAAAATAATAGGATTTTAAATAACTCCTTGGTTACCATGTAAATGTTTGAATAGGTTACCTATAAGGTGGGTTAGGTTTTAATTTTCAGTATTTTATTACCGTACAGTCCATGAGAACCAGTTGCAATTGATCCTCTTTCAATGTAGCTAAACCATTCTTATGATATGTATTCCACAAATTAGCTGCAATTATAGCTGTGATGCTTGAATCTCTATCACCATAACCACTAAATGCTAATAAGCTTCCATCATGTGTCAACAGCCTTTACCACATAAACAAAAATAGTTGAATAAAATATAGTTGTAACTTATTATACAACAGCACTGCCATTATTCAGTGACAATGTATGATAAATTCAATTTGGTTTTAAGTTAAAAATTTCAATATTTAATACAATTCAGTTGAGTCATTCAATATAAAATATAACATTTTTAATTAAATGAGTTAATTACATTTAAGAGCATAGCGCCATAGCTTGTATATCAATTGACCAATTTGAAACAGTAACTAATATCTGTACGACTTATAATATATCCTTTCATTCAAACGCCAATTTTTTTCTGATCACACAATTAAATATTTATGAAAAGTAAATTAAAGTAAAAATCAAGCAAGTATATTTATTCAACAAAAAAATTGATTCAACAATTGATTAACATTGACATTTCATATTTAATACATTATAAAAACTGTGTTTACTTTAATCTGCGAGTTTAAATAAATTATTAATACATTATAAAAAATAATGCATATTTTATTTTGGGTATAGGTGCATTATAACTTACATTGTATTTTCAACACCGTTGCTATTAGCTTGACTTAAAACTTGGGATAACACTTTGGGTCTTAACATTGTTATTACAGTTAACTATTACAATAAAAAGTTAATATAATACACGAACCAACAGACGATGAGTGTTATTTAGTCAATTCTAAGATATAAATTACAAATAACAATAATTTAAATTTTAACTTCATATCTTCTTACTAAAATATGAGATTATACGTCTTCTTTGCCCGTAAAGTTAGCTGCTCCCGGATGTTTATCACATATCAATATTCTGATAACGTAGGTAACCGCATTCCTGCATAATCTATTGCCTAGTCATATCTTACAAGGAGCTTTAATTCAAATATTCATTTTTCAGATAATATAACTCACAGGATTCAAGATGGACGAATAAAAATTTTCATAAAATATATTATTAAGTATAATAATTAGGTATAATGCAATTAAAAAACATGTGAAACATTTTTAATTATTTTAATATTCTGAACTAGTATGAATACCTATGGTTCCGTAAGAAATGATTATATTATAAATAGGTACAAGCTTACAAATATCTCCAATTTTACACCACTGTTAGATTTTATCATAACTACTCTTACCTTTTTGTAACTATGTATTTTAAATGTTTGAGTAATTTAACTATGTTTGCATTACACAATGTATGTACGAAAACTAGCAACATTATCATTGCATGGGGTGTACACTTTATTATGTTGATTCAGGCATCAATAAAGTGCTATAAACATAAAAGTGATTAAAATATTGTAAAACTATGATATTCGAAAATTATATAATAAAAATAAAATACTTACTCATATACAATCACTAAAAAATGTGTCTAAATCTACAAAAGGGGCTTTACAGACGATTAATTCAAATCACCTATAAGAGCAAAGTTTATACTATCCGGCAATCACTAAGTTTATACATAAGCAAATACTGCTAATGTATTTTAATATAATTTAGGTGCCTAACTGAGCAGGGGATGTATCCAGTCGGGGCCACTGGAGCTTAGGCTTCTCGGCCTTCAATGTTCCAAGTTGGGGGCCCACAGCAGGGCCTGTATTATTACATTACACAAATATATTGAACATTTTTTTTTATCATTTAAATTATAGCTAGGTATGTTGAGTATAATTTGTTTTGAAATATGACAAAAAATAAACAGTTTTAGATTTTATTTTCTTGAATAATATTGAATTACATCAGTCATTGTTTTTTAAGCGGCTAGATATAGGTGTAAAAATAAATTATCATAACTTGTACGCAGTAATTGCTGCACATGCTGTGATTATTATTTTTAAGACATCCACTATCTTATAGGCTTCGATGATCTATAATCTAACGATGAATTACATTTGTGAGTCATTCCGTGGTCGTCTCCTAACGATACTAAGCAATATTTTTATTATAATTAACAAATACAGCATCAGAGTTTCTGAAAGAAAATAAAGCTACAGTACCCAGGAAAGACTTGACATCAGAGATAGTAAACTAGTATAATAGAAGAAAGAAGGAAGCCTCAGAATGGGACTACGCTTGAACATAAGAGAAAATACAGGGAACTAAGAAATATTGTAATGAACATCCGAAGAAGCAAAAGAAAAATAGTTAGAGGAAAAATGCAAAGATATCGATGAGACCTGGTAGTAGAGATGCAGCGTACAAATCAGTTAAAAAGTTCTTTAATGATTATAAACAAAATAAGGGTTCAATAGAAGATAGCAACAGAGTAAATATTTATGAGAACATTCTATGGAAGGAATATCTAGAGCAGCTATATTATAAGGGACTAAAACTCACCGGATGAGAAATAGAACATGAAGAAGTACTGGAAAACGGGTTAAATTATGGTGTAATAAGGGGAGAATTTGATAAAGCACTTATAGGGATCTTAAAGGAAGAAAGCCGTAGAAATCAACAAAATCCAAGCAGAACTTTGGAAAGAATCTGGCGAAAAAATGTGCAGTGAACTTTTTAAAATTATAAAAAAAAAAATATTAACTCAGGAGAACTTCCTCTAGACTTTACGCTAAGTGTAAGAGTATTCCTATCTCAGAACAACCGGCATCAAATGTGATCAATACCGTACAATTAGCTTGCTGACACATGTGTCAAAATTACTGAAGATAATTATATCAAGAATAGAAAATAAAATTGAAGTCATATTGTCAGAAGACCAGCGTGGGTTCAGAAAGTGCATGAGTACAAAGGAAGCAATACTGATATTCAGAACAATCATTGAGAAGAGAATTAGAAAAGATAATCCTACAAACATAGCTTTAGTTGACATTGAAAAAGCGTTCAATAATGTCCACTGGTCAATAATGTTCAAGATGCTAAAAAGAGCAGGTATAGACTACACTGAAAGGAGACTACTCTTTAAGACTTTAAATTATACCAGAAGGAAACGGGAATTATACAATTTGGCAAAACTGAAGAGGCATGCATAAGAAAATGAGTAAAGCAGGGTTGTACTCTCTCACCTACCATATTCAATGATAAAACCAAGAGGCGATTGACATAATTAAAGGGAAAATACATTTGGGTCTAAAGATAAATGGCGGGAAAATTGATATGCTACGGTTCGCAGACGATATCACAGTAATAGCTGAAAACGAAGAGGAATTGCAAAGAATACTGAGATGTGTGGAAGAAGCTCTGCTCAATGAACTGAACATGAAAATTAATATAAAAAAGACCAAAGTTATTGTATGTAGCAGGAAATTAGGCCAAAAATACATCTGCAAAACCATCAAGCAATAGAGCAAGTAGAAGATTTCACATATTTGGGAAGCATAATAAGTGAAGATGGCAGAAGTAAAAGAGAAATAATAAAGAGAATATGCCAAGCTAAGATATCATTTAACAAAAAAAGAGGACTTTTTATTTCAAAAAATATAAGCATACCTACGCTTTAGGATAAATCTTCTGAAGACATACGTAGGTATGGAGTTTAATGCTGTATGGAAATGAAACATGGACAATTGCCAAAGAAAAACAGAAAATAATAGAAGTGTTTTGAGATGTGGTGTTACAGAAGAATTCTTTAAAGAAGTTGGACGGATATGATAACAAACGAGGAAATACTTGAAAGGATATCTAAACGAAGAACCCTTATGAAATAGTATCATAAAAAGGAAAAATGAATGGATTGGACATGTACTGAGACATGATGAATTTCTGGGATTAATGATAGAAGGCTGTGTAGAAGGTAAAAATGCTAGGGTATGATCAAAAAAGAAGTGCATACAAGATACAACAATGCTATATTGTGTTTTCACAATGTACTTTACTGCCATACGCCGTCTCAGCTTAGAATCATTTTTCGTAAACAATTATTTTATACATTTTAAGAGTTCAAATTGTACATCCATTGCAGTGACCCACACTACATCTAATGTACAGAAGAGCAGTACCCACTTGCCCATCTTTTTATACATTTTCAGCATTTTTAATTTTGACCTCCCAAAAGTACTAACTAAATCCAATTTGTTACCAAAAACAACCTTCAATGCTGGGTGTCATAAAAACTGTCATATCCAAGTTCCAAGTTATGTTATTTTCATATTATATTTTTGTATAGATTGTAAAAAAATTTTCTAATAAGTAAAAATATTGAAAAAAATAGTGATAGTTAGTGATCTAACCATTTTCCCAAAATTGTTGTACACGAATAATGATCTATTGACTATTAATGAATTAAAATTTAATATATCCACCCTAGCCTAACCTAACCCTAATGAGTAACATTAATACAAAGCAAATGTATGATTAAATTCTAGTATCCTACTGTGCAGCAGGAGCAAGTATCATAGTTTTTATTTGTATTATTATTACTTTTAAATAAACAATAAAAATATTTAAAAATTTTAAAGAAGCATATTCAAAATTTTTTTAAACAAAATTGCATTTATTTACTTTAAATAAATTATTTTGATTTAAACTTTTTCAATTCTGGTTCACCGGTTTGTTCGTGGGATATTTCCATAAAGATTTTATTTTCTTTTGTCACCTTATATTGATTTGGACCTATAAACAAAGATGATTTTAACTAAAAATATATGAAATAATAATAAGTAATCACCTTTTTTCATGTAAGAAATAGTGGAATAAGGAGTAAAATGAAAATCTTCCATTAAATATCCCTGTACAATAAGTTCACCGAGAATCATTTCGGCCCGTGTTCTTGAAAAAATTGGAGACTGTACATCAAACAGCAATATTTTTTTGTTACCTTTACCATACCAAGTGTCTAGTAGCATTTGAGCTATAGAAAATAAACAATTAAGTTTTAAAATAGTTTTAAAATTAAGTTTTTTTATTAAAATTTAAGACATACCTGTAAACTTTGTATCATTTTCTAAAGCCGCATTTAATATGCTATACACATCTAGGCAATATTTATTTATACAAATACTCTTCACAGTTTTAGGATTACAACAATTATCACACATTGCATTACAATCATTTGATTCCCATGATTCATCAAAATGAGTAGATATTAATTTGCGTCTACATCTATAAGTTGAAAAGAAAAAACTTAAATAAGTCAACAAGGTAGTCTTATGAACAGAGGCGCCAAAAGTTGGTTACACACTTTTACTTACAGCATACTTCATATGAGTAATAACATAATTTATGGTATTGTAAGGTTATTTCATGACAGGTAAAGGGTAGTAAATGTTGTTTTTTAGAATTTTATTATATGTTTTTCCAACTACAGTGCGCCTCTGGTTGCAGTTAAATATCTTTGAACTTACTCTTTTACATTTAAACAATATTTTATGATAGAGTACAAATTAGGTAACCCAGTCTGTGTTGTAAATACCATTGTGCTTAATTTAAACACGTCACTCAACTTAAAATATAATAAGCAAGTAGAAGGTTTTCCATCTCTTCCTGCACGCCCACTTTCCTATTTTAATAAATTATAAGTGTATTGATAAAACATATATAGTTAAACGTTTTTAATTATATCTAATGTAAATAAAAAATAATAATGTTGGGTTACACATCAAATTATCAATTCTTTATTTTTCTTACTTGGTAAAAATTTTCTATTGATTTTGAAAGAGTATGGTGAATTACAAATCTCACATTTGGTTTATCTATACCAAGACCAAATGCAATAGTAGCTACTACTGCTTGATATTCACCATTCAACCATTTGTTATGAACTTTTGATCTTAGAGGTCCTTCTAGTTGGGCAT